ATTAGCGGTGCTGGAGAACAAACTGCAGGCCCATGCACTCTAGACAGGCAGTCTACCACTAAGCTATACCCCCAGCCCACAAGAAAAGTTTTGATTTTTATAGTGTGCCCAGCTTTTGACTTATTGTTTGGCTAGGCCTGACATTCTTCAAAGGTGTCTGCATACATTAAAAGAGTTATTCATCATTTTATTAAGAAATTCAAATGGAACATTTAATAAAAATGATGAAATATTGGGCATTAATGAAAACAATAATAAATTTCTTTGGATTGAAATCCCACAGTATGCTCTTTCTCCATATCTGTAATAGGCTAGAAATAAATTTTAGAAACAAAAGCAATTAGAAAATCACCAACGTTGTTGAAATTCAACAATGCACATGGACAAGTGAAACAAAAAGTCATTATTGCCTCATTAATATGTACATGTTTATATTTTATGTTATATTAAAATAATATTTTTAAAAAGTCAATGGTCAAAAAAACAGTGGAAATTAAAATAATTTATCATTAAAATTAATATGAACATTCAAATCACTTGAGGAAACGACTTAGTTCTATAAATGATAGACCATAGTCCTTTTATTTGATGCAAAGGGCAATGGAAATATCCTACTTCCAGGTCTAGATGCATACTTTAAATTTCTAAAGTTTATTTTTTAAATATTGTTAACAGTGTTAAAAGTATATCTTAATTGGGCTCATAGTTTAAAATTTTTTTTTTAGTTATACATGGACACAGTATCTTTGTTTATTTATTTTCATGTTGTGCTGAGGATAGAACCCAATGTATCATATGTGCAAGGCAAGCGCTCTGTCACTGAGCCACAACCCCAGCCCTGGACTCATATTTTTAAAACATCATGAAAATAAACAAGTAAGGAAACAACAAATAACAAAGAACATCACTCTCAATTTCCTCAATCTCCAATCTGCACGTTATAAGAAGGCTGTAATTGGTTCAGCCCTGATCTCTCACCCACACATTGAGCTAATGTCTGTGCACCTTTAGTTGTGTATTCTTCATTGGCTAGTCCAGTTTAAGGCTTAATCTGTTCTTATTGGAAATTTCATTCATACAAATGATGTATAATTGCATATAATAAAGGTTTATGTTTTGGGCTGGGCCTGGTGGCACATACCTATAATCTCAGTAGCTCAAGAGGCTGAGGCAGGAGGATATTGCAAGTTCAAAACCAGACTCAGCAATTTATCGAGGCTCTAAGCAACTTAGTAAGATCTTGTCTCAAAACTAAAAATAATAATTAAGAAAAGGCCTAGGCGGCTGGGGATGTGGCTCAAGAGGTAGCGCGCTCGCATGGCATGCGCAGGGCGCTGGGTTCAATCCTCAACACCACATAAAAATAAAAAATAAAGATATTGTGTCCACCAAAAATTAAAAAATAAATATTAAAAAAAAGGGCTAGGGGGGCTGGGGATGTGGCTCAAGCGGTAGTGCGCTCGCCTGGCATGTGTGCGGCCCGGGTTCGATCCTCAGCACCACATACAAACAAAGATGTTGTGTCTGCCGAAAACTAAAAAATAAATATTAAAAAAAAAAAAAAGGGCTAGGGATGATGCTCAATGGCTAAGCACCCCTGGGTTTAATCACTGGTACAAAAAAAAAGTTTGTGTTTTTAAAATTGACAGATTGTCAATAGTAAAGAATAGAATTAGATAAATCCCAATAACTGGAAATGGTAATTACAAAGTCCAAAAAGCAGGGAAAAGGAATTGTTTCTGAAAATTTTATTTAACTTTTTTGTACTTCCATTGGGTGCTATAAAAGAATTCTATAAAAGGTATGTTTGGAAAAATCAGAGTGAAGAGGTATAATGTTTATATCAAGTCTTCACTTTATATGTTGCCATTTCAAATATAATTGCCTTATGGATTATTCCACTGCCTCCTCTAGGGAGAATGAGAATGAAAATGCTAAAGGATATTATTACAAAAACACTTTTTACCTGATTGGTTCTGATAAAAAGTGACCCTAAGAATATAACTGGAAGAAATTATTATTTAATTAAGTGATTAAATTCAGACTCATTAAGCAAAATCCATTATTTTCTTTTGAACTAGTTGCACCAAATTTTTAAAATAGAAAATCCTAAGTTGTTTCAAATTGAAGCAATATATTTGTATAACAAACCAAAAACATTAGGCCATAAAGAAAAAAACTTAATGGAAATTAGAAAATGTTAAGATAAACATTAACTTTCAAATATCTTGGCAAAAGGTGTCATCTTAGTTATATTAATTTCTGCCCAACTTTTTTTTGGTACCAGAGATTTAACCCAGGGGTGCTTAACCACTGAACCATATCCCCACCCCTTTTTAAAAATACTTTATTTAGAGACAGGGTCTCTCTAAGTTGCTCAGGCTGGCTTTGAACTCACCATTCTCCTGTGTCAGCCTCCCAAGTCGCTGGGATTACAAGATTGTGCCACTGCACCTGACTCCCATTCTCTTTTTTTTTTTTTATTGGTTGTTCACAACATTACAAAGCTCTTGACATATCATATAATGCAAGGGGCAGGAGACATGTTCCCTTCCCAGCTCTAGATTCAAGTTTTTAAATCATGACAGTTAAAAACAAGCATCCAGACAGCAGTGCACCTGGAAAAGAATCACTTCCTGTTTCTCCTCAACCTCCAGGCTGAATTTCATGCAGACTCTTACTGCTTTATCCAAGCAACTTGCCTGCGCTATGGGCCAATGTCCATGTCCATGACTTGGAGATGGCAGGTCTCTGGTTGGCGGAGTCAATTGAGACTGAGATGTTTCCAGTGGATGGTCACATGATGCAAACATAATTATGCAAGAACGAAGGTTTGGGGGTTAAACATAAGAATGACACTGGTACAGTGGCTCAAATCTGTAATCCCAGCCACTCAGGAGGCTGAGGCAGGAGAATCCCAAGTGAAAAGCCAGCCTCAGCAACTTAGTAAGGCCCTAAGAAATTTAATGAGACCCTGTATCAACATAAAACATAAAAGGGCTAGGGATGTGGCTCAGTGGTTAAGCACCCCTGGGCTCAAAAATAAATAAATAAATAAAAGTAAGAACAGAAGGCTTGATATGTAGGTCCACAGAATAACACTGCATAGTGGAAGAATCTCCCATACTTGTGGTACTCAGTTCAAAACTCCAGTACATATATATTTATATTTATATTTATATTTATATTTATATTTTTACATATTAATCCAAATCAGAATAGTAACTTCACACTTTAGACAGCTTGAAACATGCATAATAACCAATGCACAATTGGTTATTTAGGCACATGTCTATATTTAATCAATTCTGAATATAGGATGTTTTTAAAAGTAATATTGAGGTATGCTTATTTTTCTGCTTTTGGGCTTTATCTACTTCCATAGGGCACATTAATTATAATTCTGCTCCACATTCCTGTGAGAATAAAAGTTAAAAAGATACATTATTACAAAAATAACTATGACCTGACTGAGCCTTACAATGGTTGATCTAGGAGTATGTGACAGAAATGCCCATGCAATAAAGATTTGTTATTATTTTCCTTGGAACATATTTCACCACAGACATATAGTAAAGCAGATGTGACGATGTTTATTGAGAAGTGCTTTAAGAATGGGCAGGGCACCCCCTCGCTCACCCCCAGACCTGAGGTGTGCTGCGCTGGCAGCACTACTGGCAGCACACAGTCTTTGGGGCCCAGTGATGGCTCTTAAAAGAGCCTTTAGGGTTGGCTGCGGAGGGCTCCCAGAGGCAGCTCACTTGCTGGAATGTGAGCGGCTGAGGGCCCTGGTGGCCTCGTACACGGCGTGCTTGCCAATCTCCCCAGGCAGCAGGAGGCGCACGGCCGTCTGGATGTCTCTGGAGGTGATGGTGGAGCGATGGTTCTGGCCGGCCAGGTGGCAGGCCTCGCTGGTGATGCGCTGGAACATGTCCTGGACGAAGAAGTCCAGAACGCTCACGCTAGACCGGGAGAGGCTGAGGCCCAAATGGATGTGCTTCAGCACCCTGGGGAAATAGGTGGCAAAACTGTCCCCACACCTGGAGTGGCTGTGGTGCCTCATGCTCTTGGAGTGGCTGGGGGGCCTGAGCTTTGTTTGGGTGGCTGGGCCATCCTTCTGAGGCTCTTGGGGATTGAGGGACTCCTCAGAAGAGGTGTCACAGGCTAGCTCTTGGAGATTGAGGGACTGCTTAGAAGAAGAGTCAGAGAGTAGTTCAGCCATTGCTGTCCACAGTTGGTGAGGACAGACAATGAGAGTTGCTAGGGGCCGGGAGCCCTTTATATAGGCCACATTGTGTCACGTCATGGGCCAACTCGACATCTCATTGGATGGCCTGCCCGCAAGTATGCCTCATGGCACAGTGTGATTGGACAGTCCTCTTGCTTGGCATTCTGCCCCAACCAGAATGAGTACTCAATACAATGAGATAGTCCTCCTGCTTGACCAATTACAGAGACCGTCTGTCATTTTAGAATCTTCCTGTTGCCTCCACCAGAAAGTGAGGAAGATGCCAAAGAGAGCAAAGAGTCATTGAACCACATTAGGTGATTCATGGCACAACATGAGCATTTTGAAAAGACATTATGGAAATTTCCTAAAGAGTACAAATTATAGCTCAGGCTCCTTGAGAGAATCTGTCATTAGTTTCCCTTGCTCATTTTCCCAGTGAAGTGACTTTAGGCCAGTTTGGTTCATTATTATTTCAAATCAGAATTTTTTTCCTAGAACAACCCACCTGGTTTGGGCTGCAATTCCCTGACATGGCCCCCACACTGCTCTTGGAAATGGAGTCTTGGTTGTATAATTCTGTCTTCAGATTTGATCAAAACCCTTGGAGAATCATAAAGGTAGAAACAGCCAAACTACAGTCTCCGAACGCAGAACACAAAATGAAATAGGTACACATATATAAATTTATTTTTTCTTAAACTTCTACCAAGAGTAAAATTGTTGTCTTAACAAAATTTGGATTCTAAAAATATTCTAAATGCTACTATGGGTGCTCAATTTGGCAGCACATATATTAAAACTGGAACAATACAGAGAAGATTACCATGGCCCCTGTGCAAGGATGGCATGCAAATTCATGAAGCATTCCATATTTTTATTGAGGGGAAACAATAATTTATATATAACCTGTAGGAAATGCTTCTCACATTGGGCTGTGCAAGGGAAGGATTAAGTCCTCACTGAAGACATGTAAAAACTAAAGTTTTACTAATTTGAAAGGTGCAATACTATAGTATATAAAGTAATTCTGACACTATTTTTAAGGGAAAAATATAGAATTGAATTTCTCTGAATTCTTATGATTGGAGCAAACCCTTTGTAGCAATACTGCAACAATCATACAGTTGCGCCTAATCATAAATTTCTCATCACAACTAACAATCCTAAATAAATGTCAAACAATTATGTTAGTTGAAAGTTTTAATTATAGAAACAATGTTATATAATTGATTAATACAGACTCTCAACAAGTATAAAGGAATGATAGAAAAATAATGTTTACAAAGGTATAAGACTTACGAAAATATTATCAACTACTGTTGTAGTATATGATATTTCAAATTGTGTTATAATTGAATTTTTTCTCTTGTTAAAATAAAGTTGTACAGAATTTTTGCTGAAAAAAAATGCTACTATTCCAGGCAACTACTGTTAATCTAATCTCTCTAAAACCCTCCTTAGAGAGACAAAGGAAATAAAGTGAGTGGAAATGGGTTTTAAATTGAAGGATATCCTTCAAGAAACTATGATAATACATTCAAAAACATTTCTTAAATATAAGAAAGTAAAACATAAATTACAGAAATTGAACCAAAGAAAGATTTAAGAATTGAAAAGACTTTAAAAATAGAGATTAGACATGAAATATCACACCAAATGGCCAGGATTCCAATAGTGTTTCCTGACAGACCTGTAAGAATCAAGCAATAACTTTAGAATGTGAAGTGATAAAAACATTTTTCCTCAAGAAATAGAATTCGATGAAAAAACCTGTTGAAAGGAGCATGCTAAGAAAATCTTAGCAGTTCATTTTAAACAAATTTTTATAGTAAATCGTCATAATACCTTTATTTTATTGTTATGTGGTGCTGAGGATCAAACCCAGTGCCTCACATGTGCTAAGCAAGCACTCTATCAACTAAGCTACAGCCCCAGCCATAAGCAGTTCCTTTTTTTTTTTGAGACAGAGAGAGAGAGAGAGAGAGAGAGAGAGAGAGAGAGAG